GTCCAGTGCTATGACAAGCCAACCACAAAAGCCAACCGATTTTCGAAATATCAATAAATAATTGTTTAAATTCTGCACAGTATTTTGAAATGCGTTCAAAATGAGTTTATAAAACACTCAAAAGTTGTTCAGAGATATAGCATAGAGCTTGAGCTCTTAAGTTGGAATTTGATTTCAATTTAATTATTAACTCAATTAATATGAGCCGAGTGAGCTAAAATATTTTTAAATCCGAATTTTGGGCTAAGTTCTCATTTGAATATTATTTATAAACCTGTTTAAAGACATTTCTCCAAAATTATTTAAGGAAAGAAATGGAAATTTCAACCTGGAAATAGGTCCAATATTGTGTTAGGCATTGGTTTGAGGTGATTTTGTTGATATAATTTCAGAATTTGGAATAAAGATCGGTGGCATGTAGTTAAATATTCTTATATTATTCATATCGGGCCTCAAAAAATGGTTTTCATGTGGTTCGGCAAAGCAAGCAGGTTACATTTATAAAGTTTTTAAAAAGATATTTGTCAGTGTGATGTATTTTGAAGATGAACATGATTTTGATAAGCAACTAGTACTATATAGACATAAAACTCTACAAAACAGTGAGCAGGATGTATTTATAGAGATTCATAGAATTATATTTTATGCTAAGTAGATAAAAACAATTTAAAATTTGCAGGGCAGATAAAAAACAAATTAGGAGTTTTTTTATATTTTATAGCAGTAAGAAGTATTAAAAACTCTTCAAATTATTACAGGTATGACTCGATAAATAAACGATCATAACTAATTAATTAACAACAATACTTGTAGATTATCATGCTCTTAACTAAATATACATATATAGCGTCATATTGCAGGATATACAGCTACCGACTTACCCAGAACTCAAGTGCTCGGTGTTGCTCACCTAGCCGGCAACACAAAATTTTATTTCTCTAAATATTTTAATGTTTATTTATATGTAGATTTTTTTGCTTCAGCTCTCAAATAGAACGTAGAAAAAATAGAAGCTAAAAAGGGACTCGCCAAAACTGGCGGATGTATGACGCCGTGTATTTTGCTTTTTCTCTGCGCGTCATAAAAAAGAGGACGAGCAGCAACAATAAAAAAAAAAGCACAACACCTTTTGCGCCAAAGGAATCGGCGCGCCAAAGAGTCAACAATGCCGCGGAAGTAATTTACAATTTGGTGGAACGTCGAAAATAAATATAACAAAAAACAGAAAAGAAATGGCAAACGCAATGGCAAATAAAATGTGCAGGATATGTCTGGCCGCGGCATAAATTGACAAGATTTATTTTCAATTAAAACACAAACGCACAAAAGCACATTATCCTTCTTCGCTTTTTTTCCCCCTTTTTTTGGTGGATATTTTGCTCATCAGGCTCGCTACATTTTATTGGCAACATTTTATGTTGCTTTCAATTAACAATAAATCAAAAGCGGCGGTCGCATTTCAACATTTTCATGTCTCTGTAAGGACTCACCCCTAAGTCGGACTGGGCGCAAGTTGATGAATGACGAAGGACATGCACATACACACATGCATGTACACTGCGATTGGCTGCACGTCGACGTGCAATAATTTTATGTGTCCTGGCGTGCAAGCAAGCAAATGAAAAATGAAAAAAAGAAGAAGACGAAATCAACGGCACAGGAAGAAGCTGCGCCTCATTGTTGTCCTTGTTATTTATGGCCCATTAAGGCGGCAAGCGGCAATTGCACATGTGTTCTTCACACTGTGCGCTGCTCTGCCACTCCCCCTCCGCCTTCTCCTCCTCCTCCTCTTCACTTATATGTATATCCTTACAGTTCCATGCACAGCATAGGTGTTATGTGTGTCATGGCACTCTCATCAGTGTCGTCCTGGGCTTTTAATTGTTCCAGCACAAATGTTAATAATTGCGCTTTAGTATCCTTGATGCGCCATGCATGCATGTCTTTTGTCTAATAATCATAAGACATAATTCATTTCAAATCGTGTTTCTCGCTGAATTTATGACAATTCCCCTGCCTTCTCCCAGTCTCCATCTCCATCTGAGTCTCAGTCTCGCACTCATTCTCGTTCTCATGCTCAGTTTTCGCTTGTCGCACATTTCATTTCCATTTACGCACACAGCTAAAAACAATTATCCTTGCAGGCTGCACCCCCTTCCCATCCGTTTGCAGCTTGGCCCATGCCATTTAATTGCCTGGCCAAAGGATTCGAATGGAGACATTAGAAAAATCTGTCGCAGCATCGCGTACACGACACAAACACCAAAAGTCGTTAAAATGTTGTTGCGATTCCAGGATCGTGCTCCCATATGTTCGCCTAGTTTATTGGATTCAGCAGTTTTACGTGTTCGGGGTTGATTCATGTCCATGGGTAACAACTGGGCTAAATGTAATGTCATCCTCAAAATGAATCGGATGGCAGATAATTGTAATCATTTCTTTATATCGTTTTCATAAGCTTTCAATGTCTTGCTATAACAAGAAATTGTTGCTGCGCCACTAAAATTGTTAGCTCTAGGACGCCTTCGGTTCTCAACACAACTTGGATTTAACGGTTTTGCATGCATAATTGTATTTCATAAATACATACTTGATTGTTTTAATGATCTAATTGACATTTTTATTAGTCTAAACTAAATTCGTTATTTTCATAGTGAAACCAACAAAAAAAATGGGATGGAGTAACTTAAAAAGAAAAAAAATCTTGAAAAGAATTAGAAAACACGAAAAATAAACCATGTTTATCATTGAAATTCTCGCAATTGGTCAGCTGGAAATTGAATTCATTATTTTCATATTGAAACAAAAACAAGAAAGGAATGCTAAAGTCGAGCAGGCTCAACTCTTAAATACCCTGTACCACCCCACAAAAAAGTAATTAAATTAATTAATTAATTTAATTAAATTAATTAACTAAATTAATTTAATTAATTAACTAATTAAATATAAAATATTCCATGCATGCATACATACATTTACAATTACATCAGAATCGTGTCTATGCGTGTTTGTGTACTTGTACATATGTATGTATGTGTGCATTGAGCCTGGTTATATGGCTATAACTTTCTTTCCGATCATTCTATCATAATGAGACTTGGTATACGGTTATATAATTACTAACCTAATGTGACTACCAAATTTTAGTTCAAAATTCCAAGAATTACGGGAGTTATAGAAAATCGTTAATAGGGGGGGAGTGGGGGGGTGGATCAGAAAAAATGAACAAACTCGTCCTTTCTCGGTCTCAGGAGAATCTGTATACCAAGTTTGGTTATTCTAGCTCTTATACTTTCGGAGATCCTTGCGTTCATACAGACAGACAGACAGACGGACAGACAGACGGACAGACGGACAGACGGACATGGCTATATCGACTCGGCTTGTCATGCTGATCAAGAATATATATACTTTGTGGGGTCTACCAAGCCTCCTTCTGTGTGTTCCATGTGCACTCGCACTAAACTAATATACCCTTGTACCCTTTGGGTACAGGGTATAAAAAAATGGAAGGTAATTCGAAAAAATCCATTGATGGAATAACTTTTGCGGAAAACAAAAATTCTTGAAAAGAATTAGAAAACACGAAAAAAAAACTCTGCTTATCTAATCGCCACGAAAATTCGCAGGATCAGCCACTAGACTGTTTGGAATATTGCTACAAAATTTGATCAAAATCGGTTGAGCGCTTGAGGAGTCTATAAGGAACATACATATACACATATTTTCATTTATTTATTGATAAAAAATAAAGTTGACGATCAATTCTTAACCTACTTAAAGTTTGAACTATTAGCTGCTAGTATCCTTGATATTTCTGAATAAATATTAGTAAGGAATTTTTTCAACATCCTTTTGTGAATTGCTTTAAGGTTTGATTAAAATTTTCCATATTAACTTATGGCCTAAAGCGTTATCAATCTTACGAATTAAGCCCATCTAATTGGATAAGCTTAAGCATCTAATTACTTAAAATAATATTTTATTTAATCGCCCATTTCTCCAAAAATACAATGTTTATTGTGTCTCCAACAACTGTACATGAGAGATTGATTTCAATAACTGCAAAAAGTGCATGTCAAAAGGGGTTAAACGAAACCTTTTTCTACCCTACACTGCCTGCAGGACCAATCGCAACATGGCGCCTCCTTCTGCTGGCGATGCTGAAGCTGATGCTGATGATGATGATGATGCTGCTGCTTCTGATGTGCAGCTGCGAAGCTTCAAATCATTGCAAAATGGCAAAATAAGTAACAACATAAATAAATTTGAGCGTGCACAATAGCGACCCGAGCAGCGACACTTGCAAACTAAGGAGACAAGGACATCAGGAAGTTGGGAAACTTCAGCAGTGAAATGGCAGACAGGACATAAGCCATGGCTGCAGTCTATGCTACGTTCACTGCTGGCCACAAAATTTATGCGGCCCCAAGTGGAAGGAGCACTTCGTTTTCCTGAGGCAGCTCCGTTCACTCTGCTATGATGTGCGTTATCCTTGTCAAGTGAAATATGCGAGTGCAATAGCAACATGAAGCAAAGGCGGTAAGCTGCTTGACAAAAATAGAAAAATTAGAGGCAACACAAAACTTTTTAGTGGGCGTATCAATGTCGATGAGCAGCCAGGAACAGCAGGACACACAGGAGCTCCGGTTGGACACTAAACGTCTGCGCAGCAAAACTGTGGTGGCAGATGACAAACACACAGCAAGGATGTTAAGTGAACGATGTCAAAAGTGAAGCTATGAAAACTAAACAAGGACCTGCTGTTGGCTGGCAAGCCAAGCCTCAAGTGCCATGCTTCACCATTTTGTGAGTTTTCACAAATATTCGTACTATTGAGAGAGACGTGGCTGAATAAAATATTTGATATAAATATGTGGCCTGTTTAAGAAGAGACACAACCGATCAATTGAATAATGGGCGTTGATTATGTAAAATTGTCAGCCCTCCAGATCATTAAAACATTTTGTTTTACATCAGCAGTCCTTAAATTTAGAAAATGTTCAATCGAAACATTTAATGTTTACTCAAAAATATAAATGCAAAATTTGGAAATTTTCATGTGTTTGGTAAATATAAATAGCACTTGACAACAATACTTTACTCGCATATAGCGCTATGATCAGATTCTGTACTTCTCCCACAGTCAACATAGATCAGAATGACAAGCATCTTGCCCATACTATTCATATCGTTCGTGCACCTTGTTACGCACACCTCGATAATCATACACCAGCGGATGGATGGATTTGTAAATGTTCCAAAATTGGCCAGTTACATTACCTATGCGACCATAATGGATGTCATCTATGATATCCAAGTGATACCCAAACATTGGTCCCACCTTCCAGGCTGGGGCAAGTTTGTCATAGAAACGCTTTTCACCCTCCTCGTAGCCGAGTTCGGCATCGTACTGGTGTGGAGTACTCTCGAGGCTGTGTGCATTACTTTTCTTTTGGACACAATAGAGATGTCGGGCCTTAACATTATAATATATCCCGGTTGGAGACGGTTCATAATCGCTATTGCCACAGTGTCTCTGAGTCTGAGCATATCGCTGGCCGTCTCAACGGCCACAAATCGCAGTCTCAAGGTCATCTTGTTATATCGCCGAATCGTAGATTATGTGCAGTTTCTTGTGGACAAATACTTGAAGAAACAGTGTCCTTCGGTACGTTCGATTCTGAAACAGGAAATGCAAACACGAGGTGGCGTACCGTCAATTCTGCGCACACGATAAATGTCAAAAAGTCAGCTCCTTTTGAAATAAAGGACTCTATCCATTTATTGAAAGGTGTATAATATTTTTATGTTGATAAGCGCTCATCGTGTGGTCGAATTCAAGTCCATCGATTCCATGAATAGTTGGCCAATATCCGTATACTAAATAAAGAAAATATCGCCGATAAGATGCGTTTGGATCTGCTGTTTACAACTCCTGGGAGAAGGCATGAGTATCTGTTTCCCTACAAACTAGTCCCTTAGTTATAAAGCTATGTAAGGAATAGACAATGCATGCATCAGATCAAAAACATATCCTATAGATTATTAGTAGTTAATCGACATCGTATTATCGAATTAATTTTCGACAATAATATCATCCTTGCTGCTAAAATGCATAAATTTGTTTTCGGCGGATAAATAAACATAATATTGATTCACATTTACACAAATAAATTATTATTACGTATATAATAATAATTTATTAACATACACGTATATAAAACAAATTGCAGAGAGCATTGTGACGAATAATTATTCATTATATATTTACATTTATTTATTTATTTATATACAGCTTAATCTAATTAAACATACATACTACAAGCTATGGCGACATGGCCTTGAGCTCAACTTTTAAAATAATATGAATTATTATAATGAATTTGTGTTAAAGAAACTACAGAAGTGAATGGATGAATTATTGAAGATATTGTTTAAATGTAACAGAACTATAATTTATTAATTAGATTTGGTGCTTTAAGAAACAATACGAGTATTTTAAAGTTGTCTTTAGATGTACAAAAAGGAGAAGTGAATGGCTCGAGGGTTTTCAAAATAATTTTGATAGTATGGATTAGTGTTTCAGAAGAGTTTAATGAATTTATGTAGAAAATGCTATTTTATGAATCTAATGATAACAGGAATGTGGTAATTATTCTGGGAACTTTGCGGGTTTTTAGCTGGGGAAATTAGAAGGTTTTTAGAAGGTATCAGACTTTTTTAAATGCGGAATTTGAAATTCATAAAACCTGTTGCTACATGCAGTATTGCTATACTGCAGAGCTTTAGACGCATAGGCTGCGGGCCCTTACTCCTTTTCTACGAGTATGCAGATTTTATTGTTTGCATTGACATGTGGCACGATTTTATTAAAGAATATTTGATGCCCCGCCACCAATGCTGAAGACGGCTTTTGGAAATAGAAATAAGTTGTAGCAGCCGCCCTCTCACAGCACTTACTACACTTTTTACACAGCCACAAGTGCTATGAAAGTTTATTGGAGGGAAAAAACCAGTTTATTAAACCAAAAAAAAAAACAGCAATTTTGAAAACCACACACACAGGAGAGGGTAAAAAATGTGTATATATGTATGTAAGTGTAATATAAAATAAAAGTTGCACTAAATAAGCAACGGCAACATATTTTGTGGGGCAAGTGTAATATCAAAGTAAGACAGCAGCTGTTGGCAGTTTCGATTTGCTGCGGAATATTGCAGCTATTGGGATTATTCAATAAGCAGACAAAGTATGAAGGAAACTTAATAAGCCAGGTGTACCATACACATATAATCGTGTATACATATACGTTTGGGGGGAGAGTATTTTCAATTTGGTGATGCTTGCATAACAAACATGAGAGTGCAGCTAAATGACAAAATCCTATTTAGAATTACTCCTGCCTCCCTACGTTATGTGTGTGCCTGTTGCTGTTATTGCCTCTTTTATGCGCACTTTTGTATGCTATGGTTTTTTTTATTCTGCTTGCCTTGCGTCTCTAATTGCATTTTAAAATTGCGACACCATAAAATGTGCTTACGGTATAAATAATTATAACGGCATTTGTCGCAACAAACAGTCGCAGTTGAACTGCAACCGAACTCCCCGGAGCTAGCAAATGATTTTGAGTGTCAGGATTGCGACGGAGCCCGTCCAGAGCCGGTGTAAAAGGACGACACCGAATGCCGCATGTGGATTGGCTGCAACAATAGTTGCCACAATGTTATTGTTGTTATTGTTGTTGTGCTTTTGACTGTTGTTTTTATTGTTGCTGTCGCATCTCTTGGATATTGCATGAGCTCTGCTTGCAGTACAACCTCATTGCCCCATCGCTTCTACTCTTCTCGCCCCATCAGCCCTCATCCCAAATCCATTTCATAGCAATGCGAGCTGCTTCCTCGCTAGGCAGCAGCAGCAGCAGCTCCATTTTCATAGTGCCATGCGATTAACGTGAGCTGCATATTTCCAGCTAATTTTCTAATTAAAATGGTATTTATGCATTTTTCAGTTGGCAGAATTAAACATGCAGCCCCAACAGAAGCAACAACGATGCCAAAGACGACAGTCATGGCGCAGGCAGGCAGGCAGGCAGGCAGGCACATCGAATAAGCCAAGTAAGGCGTCTGAATTGCCATTTCATAAATGAAACCTTGATTGGCAAACTGCTGCAAATATCTTACAAGTAACTCTAAGATCTCACTACTCTCAGCTTTTATTATTTGTATATCCACCAGTACCTAAAATATAAAATATTTGTCCAAAGTGGAAATGTAAGAGGCAGAAAGATACATTTTCGATAATAAATAATTCAATAAATAATAATATATATATTCTTGATCAGCCTTAATAGCCGAGTCGGTCGAATAAACATCTAGATCGCAGAGACTATGCGAGCTAGAGACACCAAATTTTGCAAACAGATGCCTTATATAGTATGTGAACCCAGATCAAGATTGTTCATTTTTCCGAAATACGTATGTTAATTTTGAATTTTGAAGATTGTACATAAACATACATATGTGTGACTATGTCTCTACCTGTTTCAGACGGAATACTCGGCTTTAATGTTAACCTTTATTAAATGGAAATACCTGAGAGTCTATTTTGTCAAGATAGATGTGTGTAGTCCTCTCTCTGTTGTCCTCTCTCGATACGATTTCACTGACATTCCTTTGAATTGTCAGCTCAAGGTAGTTTAGATTTTACCCCCCATTAATATTTGTTATTTTATTAAATTGATATCATCTAAAAATTGAATTAATGCGCCGCATCAGCAGCTACAGGCATATTTTTCGTTTCGTTTGCCGAAGTACAGTGGAACTTCCTAAAAAATAACTAACGTTCTAACATCCTGTTGAATTAAATTGAAATATAATATCATTTGGCCACTCTCTTAGAACAAAAGTTTCTTAAATTTATAACGAAATTGATTATAATTGAATTAAAAATTGATTCAAAAAATATTAATTTTACATTTAAATATATTTGTATATTATAATATGTTTCTCCTTTTTAAGAATTAAATTAAATATTTCCTAATTAAGAAACCAAAAAAGCACAAATAATAACATGGCTTACCTCTATACCCAAAAAAAAGCGTGTCAAGTCGAGAACAAATTAAAATTGAAAAATTCCCTTTAAGAGAAGAATAATGTGATGGCAAAGGAGCTCCTTTGTTGTTGTTCTTGCTCCTTTGTGCCTTGTAACGCATTATCGGCTGTGGTCGTAAACCATTTGCAGCAATTATCTTGGTAAGTTCGTTGGACGCCTTCGGGGAAATATGCTGCGAATTAATATGGCAGGCAACTCCAAGTCTCATACTCATTGCCCCGCCCCCTCTCAGGTGGGTGGTGCAACCCTTTAGCAATGAGTTTTTAAGCTCAAGTTGCGCTTAATTTATAACAAGGATTACAATAAACAAACTAATCTACGGCAATAAACACTAAAAATCCCCCAAAGAGTTTGGCCAGCGATAGTTGGGATGGAAGCACAGATATTTCGGCATTGTCACGTGGCTGTTTGTGGGCGTTTTTGTTGTTGTAGTTGTCGCTCTTATTGTTGTTGTTGTTGCTTCTGCTGCTACTGCAGTGCTTATTTTTCTTGCTCTTCGTCGTACTCTAGATCTTAAATCGCAGCAATCCTTTTACCCTTTTAAATATGCCATTTCCGCTCTAAGATTATTTTTCGATATTGCGAGCATATGATTCGATATGTTTACGATTCGCCCCAAGCCGGATGCGGCTGGCCATTCATTGGTTGGACCAAAGAACACAGATAGGCATCACTAGCTGCGATTGTCAACAGCCAGCAGTGGGGGGGCAGGAAGTGGAAAAATCGCATGCCGACAGGCTGCTTGATCCTTTTTTCTATTAACAATAAATTTGTTAAAAGTTAAATGCAGTACAGGTGAAACGAAAAGCTCGAACGGAATCAAATTGTGGTAACAAAGTTAGGGTATGGGATTAAATGTAAATGTAGAAGAGCATTTGGTAAGGAGTAACTTTTTTAATTACTTAAACTTGAAAGCAACCAGAGCTTATCATTTCTTGGCGCTAACAAAATGCCAATCATAGATATTAACTTGCCGTGCCACAAACAACAAATCGGCCCAAAAGGGATGCGCGTGATGTTACAAAAAGGACGCCATTAAGGACAACGGTTACAATCGTTAGTGAAGCCATTAGCTTGGCCACTCACACACACAAACAAACACACACACACACACACATGTGGGCACTGCCAAAAGAGTGTACTGTACATAAGTGTACATACTCGTATAATTGCGAGCTGGAAAAAGAAAACGAGATATAACATGTGTAATAACTTCAGCAAACAGGAGCAAGCCCATCCTGTTTGGCCCCCAACTGCATGCTGGACACCAAAATGTCCATCTTTTACTAATGTGTGTCGGCGTCCGAAGTCACGGAGCTAAAACGATGCCATGACACAACGGACAACAACCAAACAATAACAATAAAACAAAAGCCAACGCTCAGGCTGAGGCCGAGGCCGAGGCGGAGGCTGACACTGCGAATGCGACTGAGACTGAGACTGGAACTAAAGCTGAGACAGAGACTGCGGCAGGAGCAGGGCACTGAAAATAATTTCAAGGATATTATCGCCGCCGCCTGATGTCCCAAGTGCGATATGTGTCCCCTTCTGAACACACACACACACACACACACTGACACACGTAAACAGAGCAGAAAGGCACATCAACATAATGTCTACTTTACAATGTGGATATAGTCAGTCGATGTCGATGTCGATGCCGACGCCAACTCCGATGCGTTGCACTCAAAGAAAACGAAAACGAAATCGCATACACATATATCGACAAATAATAGCCAGAAAAGAAAGCAATTCCTCTGGGTTTTCAGAAACGCAAATACTCTTTTGAAATAGCAGGTTTTTCTCTCTACATGTATTATGGCCGCTTGACAAAGTTTAATTTTAGTTTACATTTCATTTATGTCTTTCCAGACATTTTCATTTATTTAATTTATAATTTATTTTATTTTTAACATAATAAAGAACTTAAACTAAATACAACTTCAGCAATAAAAAGGCCTATCGAATTTAACAATTTAGCTAATAACGAATCCGACTCGGGGGAGAGGTTTTTATTCGTATATTTTATTTATTTTTATATATTATTTAGTCACGGAAGTTAAGAAAAGAAACCTAAAATAAAAGGAAATACCAATAAGAAATAAAAAAGTGTAATTAACTCAAAATAAAAATAAATTTTAATTAAAATAACTGAATAATAAAAGATAAAATATAATTAAAATTGAAAAGGTGGAGAATCACATCTTCATAGCTAGACTAGACTGGACCCGTCGGAATCATTCGCTGCTAATCCAAAGTTTCTTTTGAAATACCTACCTACCTTTATAAATACAAGCACATACTATCACTCAGTATTAGTTTGAAAGAGAAGTTATTTTTTAAAAAAGCACAAAAGAAAAATACAGCTTAGGTTTAATCTGAAATCAGCTCAAAATTATATTCATAAACAGACTTCAACTCCTTTTGGAACCCGTTTTATGTATTAAGTCCATTGTTAACTACTAACGAAGCGGTCTTCAAGCCTTGTAAATCAATCTTTATATGAAATACCAATTTTATATCTCATTTTAAAATCAATCTCGAACAAACAATCACTTGTGTTTTGATTCAAATAAAATTGAAAGCTCTTTTATGGAAATTTCTAATCCTTCGTTCCACAAAAAAAAAAGAGTAATTGTAACTAACGGACTATTCTAGCCGAAATCACTGTTTTGGTAGTGTATAGAGCTGTCCACCCTATCGCACCTGCCAGCCATGCGAGCCAGAGCCATCCTGACCAACCTGCCCCCTAAGCGCTCTAAGCGCTGACCGCTCGCACGCCACGCCGCAATAAGTTACAGGCAGTGGCCATTATGCCGCCACCGACCGCTGCCATGGCAAATGGTGGACCGGCACAGCCGGAGACAAATCCGAAATCCATACTCGTAAACAAATGCAACTAATCGCCGTTCATGTTGAACGTGTTCACGGCTACGCAAACGTGAAATTGTGGCCAGCATTGCGAGGGGGGATGGGAGATGGCCAATGGGACAATGGACAATGGGGCCGATGTGCGGGCTTAGGTCCTGTAATGTCCTGCAGTTGATATTGAAGCACAGGTTGCAAGGACTTATTGGGCTCAAAGTAAGCCACGTACTTCTCAATAAAAGCAACTGTTGGCATAAGCTATGAAAGGCCAATACTCGTATCTGTTTTAACAATAAAAACTTATTACAAAACTTTACGAAAACGGCTAATAACAGAGAATCACCAACATATGCCTAACACAAGGCCCTTGAGTTGCCAAATAAGTCTAAGTACCGGCTCCATTTAGAATCAAAATAATGTGTAAGTGACTGTTATTCTAAAAAACACATTTAATATTAATTAATATTGTATTTGAAGCAGCTCTAATACTGCATAGATTGGGAAATTTTATTAAAACATTCAGTTGCCTTCTTTGTTCTGGGTTCTATCAATATCTTTCAGTCGACCTACTTCCTATTAAGTTCCTTTATTTGTAAAATAAGTCCAATAACCCCCCGTTTTTACAATCAAAACAGTGTATTATTTTAAAAAACCCATTACAAATTAATTAAAATTGCATTTCAAGCATAAAAATATTTTATTTCAAGCAGCTCTAATACTGCATAGAGTGGGAAATTTTATTAAAACATTCAGTTCCCTTCTTTGTTCTGGGTTCTATCAATATCTTTCAGTCGACCTACTTCCTATTAAGTTACTTTATTTGTAAAATAAGTCCAATAACCCCCCGTTTTTACAATCAAAACAGTGTATTATTTTAAAAAACCCATTACAAATTAATTAAAATTGCATTTCAAGCATAATAATATTTTATTTCAAGCAGCTCTAATACTGCATAGAGTGGGAAATTTTATTAAAACATTCAGTTCCCTTCTTTGTTCTGGGTTCTATCAATATCTTTCAGTCGACCTACTTCCTATTAAGTTCCTTTATTTGTAAAATAAGTCCAATAACCCTCCGTTTTTGGAATCAAAACAGTGTATTAGGGACTATTATTTTAAAAACCATATACATATTAGGAAATTGCATTAAAATATCATTTGTGATGCCTTCTCTATTATGGGTTCTACTAATATTTGTCAATCGCTTTCAGTTAGCTTACTTTTAATTAATTAATTACCCTCTTAATCTCTAAGCTTGCCCCCACGAATAGCAAAACAATACCCTTAACGGGTTACTAAACAAATCAGAGTAGGCCATACTACTTATATATAACAAAGATTTCCGACGGCAGCAGGCATTGAATCTTCTAGTAAATTTAAGGAAAAAATGTATTTGCATATGTCCCAAATATTTTACAGAGGAATTCATTCTATTAGAAAGTCTCGTGGCGTTCACAACTGGAAAAGGCAAGTAAAAAAACCCAAAAAAAAAATTGGATATAGAAAATATCACATCCTTCCTCCGAACATTTTTATGGATTTTCAGCAAAAAGAGCTTCTATAGAGTTGTTCAGATTGATCGGATAAGGGAAGATGTCAGAGGTGGCTAAGAAAAGCCGCAAACGTATCCTCGATACGCCCAAGGATATGGAGGACGGTGAGTTGCCGGACGGCAGCAGCGGAGATATAATTCCCACGTTTACCGATGGCTATGACGAAAAACTGCAAGGCGACGCCGAAGATCGCGCAAGATTGGATAATTTGAATGAGTTGCAAAGGGAGATTGAGCTGTTTGAGCGCGGAGTGAAGCGCGACGAAAAGCGTTCCGAGTGGAGCATTAAATGCCAACTGGCTCAGGCTAAAGGCCTTGACCTGGCCACCAAAGAGCGCTGCAGAGTACGGCGCCTTAACCTGGAGGCGCTAAAAGCCGCCAACAAGCGTGGAGGTGCCATTGAGCGCTTGGTGGCCCAACGAAATATCAAGAAAAACAAGCAGGGTGAGTCAGAGTGGTTGGCTGTCTTAGAGGAATAAATCCTAGTCATACAGCCCACATAGTTTCAGAGGAGTCATCCGTTTCAGAGGAACTGGAATCGTCGGACCGGTTGTCTTTAGCTGAGTCTGTTCAGTCCACTCCGCAAGCTAAGAAGGTTAAACTAAAGGCAGCAGATGTCTACTCCGATGATTCCTCGAGTGGCAGTGAGTGGGACCGTGAGCCAGAGCCATCGAAATATAGCGGAGATGATGACATCGGCGTCGTCACTTCCCGTGCGGAACTTAGTAAGGCGCTGCTCACCCGTATCCAGCTGGAGGGCATCCTGGAAAAGCCCGTGTTCGAGAGGACAGTGACCAATTGCTTTGTGCGCGTCAGCATTGGTCCGTCCGGGGGTATTAATTCCGAGCCCATTTATCGGATCTGTGAAATTGTCGGCCTCGCCGATGCCCGCAAGGAATACCAGTTGGGCAGAAAGCTAACCGATCAGAGCCTGCGCCTAGAGCATGGCGGAGAGGAGCGCACTTTCCAAATGGATCTCGTGTCGAATAATCCTGTGACGGCTCGAGAGTTTACCGAATGGGTAGCAACGTGCCATCGCGATGGCAAACCGCTGCCCACTCTTTCACGTTTGGAGCAGAAGCATAAGGACATTGTGGCTGCCCAGAACTACACCTTCACCGAAGGCGATGTCGAGCGCATTGTGCAGAATAAGCGGAGAGCAGGGAAACATCCGATGAGCGGTGCCTACCGCAAGGTCTGCCTGATAATGGAGCGCGATATGGCACTCGCCAGCGAGGACATGAACAAGTACTATCAATTGGAAAATCAAATCACAGCGATTGATGAGAAATCGCGCCAGGATCAGCTCAAACGAGGCGTCCCCTTTGTGACCGCCTCCCAAGGTGTTGCCGTCAGCAGCATTGTCCATTCTCGCGCCCGGGCCAAGCTATCATCCGAGTCTACATTGAAGCTTAGTGCCAACGAGCAGGCACTGCGGCCCCACATGAAGCGCAAGTACATGAAGAAGCCACCATTCAATCCGCAACTCGACTACTCCCAGCTGTTGGAGAAGGAGAACATCGAGGCCAACAATGCGACCAATGTCCCACAAAATGAGCGCAGAAATGTGACTTCCGCTGAGAAGAAGAATCTCTATGATCTGCATAACTTTGAGGTGGATGTTAATGTCGACAACTTGCGTGAGTACTTGACGAAGCCACCGTAAAAGAGTCTCTTAAGTACAATATGGCTTTTACTTTCATTACATTACTTTCCAGCCAAAGTTGCCTCAGTTTTCAAGGACGGGAAACTTGTTGTTGGACATTAGGAGGGCGCACAAACGAATGAGCTTCATGAGAATTGTAATAATGGACACGAAAATCAAATCTGATATCAATCTTTTATCTCCTTTATGTGCCACAGGGCTTAGCTTTTAACCCCTTACACTTTTTTCATTTCAAATAAGCGAATTTAATAAATTCTTGCCAACATTCCACAAGCACAAAAGGGGCTAAAAGTGACCAACGAACTAGAGTGTTAAAAGCGCTGAAAAGCAAATATAACAGACAAACAGCAAAGAGAACTGAATTGTAAAGCTCCTGCAACTGCAATTTCCACGTTTCTAAGAAACTAAAATAAACAAACAAACATTTTAAAAGCTCAGTTTAATAAATATAATCAAATCAAGTTTTTAAAACAATTATTATACACATACATTTCTGACCTGACTTCGATTGCTTCCATAAATATGAAGAACAAACCTGCAATGAGCTTGGACTTACTTTGCAGTTAAATAATATTCTAAAAGAATAATAAATATAAACAAATCAAGTTTTTAAAACAATTACTATGCACATTTCTGACTTGACTTCGATGTATTGATTGCTTCCATAAATATGAAGAACAAACCTGCAATGAGCTTGGACTTACTTTGCTGGTAAATTATTAACTAAAATAATTATCATGGTTCGGACTTGATGACTTCATTCCATCGATTGCTTCCAAAAATATGAAGAACAAACCTGTAATAAGCTCGGACTTACTTTGCAGTTAAATATAAAAATAAACTAAAATGCAACAACGTAGAGAAGTTTGCTAGAACTCGGGCACAACAACAATTGCGTTTAGAATGTTGTGGAAATTATCAAAATTCTAATCAGATTTCGTCATTTCTTAAATTCCCTATTAATTCTATTCCACAAACCTTTTCCCTTGAAAATATCCTAATTAAAACTCTGAATGAATAGTGAACTTTTAGTTATTATTGGTCCTAGCTCCATGATGAATGTAAACAACTGATATCTTCTCCATCCGATGTTGCTTTAAAGTATAGGTTTTTACCCATTCCCTCCCCCTTAACATTCATTGAGAAATGTGAAAAGTACACAAAAAAGATAAAAATATAACGGTATATTCTTGAATTATCAGCATCAGTCATCAGTTTATTGAGAGATATTTTCTTTATGCCTTTATTTTTTATTTATTTATTTATTTTATTAACTTTTCCTAGCGTTACAAGTTTTAATGCGCCCTTTTCAGCAGCGTTGGCCCCACAGTTTCAAATTATATCCGCTATTATTCATGTGAGCCTTACCTCAACAAAATGTACAATCTAATCAAGCAGAGCGAGCGGCTAATTGCTGCCCTGAAAACAATTCACCGTCCATCCCATGCACATTCCCCAGCACATTCAACTGAGCCGCCGGGCAATCATAAAAATGGGAATTCATATCGAACGAGTGCGATTCAGAGGACTGTTTTAATTGCACAGCCGTTGAGCAAACAGTCAAACAATTCTAACTGAGCCATGAACAACATCCAAAATATGAATGTGGCCTCCGAGGACGATTGGTGTTTCAGTTGCTGGGATGCTCGAATGCTGGCAGAGCTTCAACCAGATCCACCACAGAACCTGTCAACACAATTGTGAAACGTGGCGCGACCAGCCTATGTGTGTACTCTGTAGAGAAGGGTGTGTGTGTCCAGATGAGGATGCGGGCGCGGGTGCAGGTGCGGGTGCCGAGCACCAATCAACCACAGTGGACACATCAACAACTTGTGCGCCGCCAAAAGCTTGTTCTAATCCAATCAAATTTCAAATGCGGTTGTTGTGCAATTTCCACAGGACGGGCGCCCAACAGTGGGTCAATTCGGGAAATTCACACAACAAATTCTTATAATAACCTATAGAGAAAAATTAACCCAGCTTAAATAGCCATATGTTAAAAGTCTGCTTAACAAGATAGTAGTGTGATTTAAAAAGTATGTCTATAGAGGTATAGGTTTTCAAAAGTAAGTACAATTTTAGGGAAAAATTTAAAGAAGTAAACTTATTTTCCTTTCTCTGCTTCTGTACTCATCTTCACAGACCCCTTTTGTCCCATTGTGCCCGAAATGCAAAGGCAATCACCAAAAATCTACTGCATTTATCAGCCGCGAACGCGATTCGTGGCTTAAATCAGAACATTTTGCTGCGTTGCCTGCGGGGCAGCAACGAATTCTGAAAGCTGTTGTAGTTGTAGGCTTTGTTTGAAACGTTTACATTGCTTTTGGGTTTTTGGGTAAATTGCATTTGATTTCGAACATGTATTTTGAGCAAATTTGGAAACTACTAACAAATTTTTATCTACAACTCAGGTGCGTCTAATGAGCTCTTACTGATACTTGCATAAATGGGTCACTGCATTGAAACCCTAATACGATCGTCCCGTCATCGTGTGGGGCCATCATTAATAATACAAATAGAAACTCATTCGTAGTCCAAGCATTGAGCAAACGAACGACATTCATATTCCACAAGCATGGCGAATAAAATAGAATAGAATCCTTTGGAGGTGGTAATAATTGAACACACACAATCGCATACATACTTGTATATATATATGTATATACATAGGTGACAACGGCTTGTGTGGATTCAGAAGAAGCAATAAAATAAATGCTATTTACTGATGAGTCATCAACATAATTTTTACGATTTGCCATTCGATGAATAAACAAATAAACTCTCAATGCGCACCCAAAAACATGAACGGACTAGAGAAGGATGACGGGAATGGCAGTTGGCTCGTTGTTTGAGCGTGTCACTGAAACATTTCACATGCATTGGCTTTTTATGGCAGACAAAAACGAAACGTAGCCCACAAGCTAAAGAGGAATCAACAAATAATGCAAAATCATTTAGTAACGCAGTCTGACTATCGCACAGGAGGCAGGTTCGTAGTCCTCCACAGCCTCAGCCTCAGCCTCAAAGTCATAAAAATCCGCACCGAATGAAATTCTCATCAAGTCACAAGTTGGCACAATTCTACTTTCCGCTAAGCAACTTGGCAAGGCCAAAGGACATGCCACCAATTTCTATTTACGTATGTATGAGTATGTATGAGTATGTGTGTGTTTGTGTGTGTGTTGACCAGCCACACAAGTCCTGCTCGCCCCATCCCGTTCACCAATTGTACGGCAGTCGCGCGTGACTAACGTAATCAGCTCACGTAATGGCGACTGAGATAAAATAAAATCAGCATACTAGCCGAGTGCATAAATGCCAAATGTATACGAAAATGAAGTCTAGAGCCTGCAGATTCGACCAGCTGTACTTATGTTCTCAGATATAGCTACGACCCTAAGAACTTGGCTGCTATAAAGTGCTGCTATCAGAGCGAAATTGTAGTATACTTAATAGCTAGTTGAAGTTGTGGAACGAAACTTTTAATGATAATTTTCAGTAAAACAAAAATTAAAGATAATAAAAATAAAATAAATGGTAGCTTTAGATATTAGAATAAATTTTTAATCAAGAAAAAAATGTATTTAAAATAATCGTAATATGTGGAACCACTTCAAAATTGTAAAGTAAAGAACAATACTTCCGCAGTTTTAGGGTTGCTCCTTTTTCTGGTAGTAGTGCTCAGTGATGGTGGTAGCTATTGGAAGATCTATTTCGATCTGATTCAAAAGCAAATAATTGTGGGATGTTGTCTTCTTTTTGTTGAGATAACCTTATCCCTTGTATTACAAGCTATAGGAAAATACTTAGCAGTATGTTCAAATGCGTTTCAGAAACTCAATTTAATTTTACCTTAAATAGTTCCTTTCAAATGCAGCTTTGTTTTTTCTTAGCCCCAACTTTTTAACTAACTTAACTTATTACAAAATCTGTTTTCGATCTGATTCAAAAGTGTGGAATTGTGTTTTCTTTTTGTAGATATAGACTTCTTCTTTATTATTCCAACATGTCGAAACAAGGCACAGAAAAATACTAGGCTGATACTTAGAAGTATGTTCAAATGCATTTAATATTTTAAGCCCGTTTCAGAAACTCTATTTGTTTGGATTTTGTTTCAGAAACTCAATTTGATTTGATTTAAGATGGCATGAAATATTTTACGCTATGTTTCTTGTTGTAATTATTATTATTATCCAACAATTAGAAATGTATACGACATATGGTGGCAGTTTTCTATATTTCACTATATGTTTCCATTTGTCAGTAATTCCTATCATTTGTAAAACGTAGAACTTATCCGAACCAAAAGCAGACCCCCCATCAATTGGGCATAAAGGGAGAGCCTAAAAAGCAATGAGAACTCGCAAACATCACGCATAAGTTTCATTTTATTTTGATTTTTATGAGCGCCCACAACATTGGGCCGAGGATGCACACAGCATTGGGACATGTCCCACCTGGATCACTTGTTAAATAACCAAAAGGAGGCAACAGAAAAAAGAAATGCCAAGAACAAAAAACAACCAACTACAACAACAACAAATAAGAAGAAATCGAAGTAGTGAGGGCACGAGGGAAGATGGTGGAAGGTTGGTGGAAGGTTTGGTTGACAAGAAACTATCGGAGCGCAGACTATGGTGGAAGTGGACGTTGGCGAGTAAAGCAGAGAAAATGCCTATTTACGAGCTCGAATGCTGCTGGACACATGGTAATCATATATTTTGGTCATATCTGTGGGCCATAAAACCAGTGTCCTTATGTGCCTGTCAATGAGTTGTTTCATGACATTTATTTCGCCTGTTTCTTCGCCCTGACGGGGGTTGCTGCTGTTGTTGTTGTTGCTCTTGATGTTGCCTGCCTGTTGGCTGTTGGTTGTTGGTTGTTATTTGCAGGGCTTGGGGTTGCGTGCAGATGGAAAATATTTTAGTGTCCATTTAATGTCCAATCTAAGATGAGCTCGTAACTTTTGATCGAATAAACGAGCGCACACACGAACTCGACGTGTATATAGTACACATATTTCCCTCTCTCTCCACATTAAGGTAAAAGGTGAAGCACCAAGCACGAGGCACAAGCGCGTGATGGGGGCAAGGGTTTGCAATTGGACTGGACACTGAACACTGAACACGCAATGCTGGCCTGTTTCGCATACAATATTCTCCAGGGATAATTCTTTAATTTTCTCACTGATGCGCCTTGAGTGATAAGAAGTTATTTGCCAGCTATTTGGTTATTTTATTAGTGGGCTGGCCTCGGCTTACGACCATATTGGAAAAGCTTAATGGACAGCGCCGCGCAGCGTTCGAGATTAGTTTGTTTCCTCATCATAAATATTTAATTAAAATCAAAATTAGTTTTTCAACGTACGCTGGAACGAAAAAAAAACTGCGTAGGAAATTTTTCTAATAAAAAACGAAGCAAATACTACAATTGCGAATGCCATTACCTCCCAGTGGCGGTGGCACATGAATAAGCAAAGCCTCGCACTTCCTCTGACCTTCATGGCGCCTTTGTTTGTTAATGAAAAGCGTATTGTTTCTTGCCGGCAGCAGCGTTACTCGCGTTTCCATCAAGTCGACCAAAGTGTCACGGCGGGTTAGCGCGAATGCAAAGCAGGTCTAAAGGTGGCCAACCAGATGCCTAGCAGCCGAGACATTTGCCCCTCGTTTCGTTAAAAATTAAAATCGCTCGCGCTTTCATCTCAGGAAACTGGAACTCACCCCATCTGGCCCCGCTGCAACACATCTGCGGCTACCAGCCTGGTCGGCGATTGAAGAGCTCCGCACACGCAACTCACGCACTCGGCCCATCCGTAACTTTTGACTTTGCCGAACCATAAACTAGATTTGCATGTGACGCCCCAGAGACCACGCGAAAAGGAAAGCAGGAGAGCAGGCGAGCCATGGAGCTGAGCTGTCGGGTAGGCTCTGGAAAATCACTTGATGTGATGACGGCATGCAACCAGGGAGGCCAATTCATTCTTGTAAATGAAGTTGGATTCAAATGCATACATAATTGATATCGTGAAAAGAATTCAAATAAACTGCACTGGTAATATCTATTGGCAAGTTGATACTAAATCTAAGAATAACTTTATCTTATAATAGCCCTAAATCCACTTTAAGCACATATGTATCTTCTATTTGGCTTTATTCGCTAAAGCAACAATAGTAGGATTAGAGCAACATGTAATTTTAAAGTAATATCAAGGAAAGTGGACGGGTCTTACTAAATAACAAATTATAATAAAGCACATTATGGATTTCAAGATATGTTCAACACAAATGTTCCTTTTTTTTGGCTTTACTCGCTAAAGCAAGAATAGTTCGGTTGGAGATGAATTAAAATGTAATTTAAAAGTAATATCAAGGGAATTGGTTCGTGAAAGTTGCAATCGACTGAAGGTCAAGTGCCAGCGCTTCTTTGTGGTGATTTAAAAATGAATGGGTCTTACTAGATACCCAGTTCAGCTACTCTAACGAATTAGGCAAACTGTCTAAAAAAATCGCCCTTTTTAGGCCCAGATTGAATAGTTCACGATTCAGGAGCGGGGCAGACATTGAACATTTAAGTGGCAATACAATCCAAACGACCATTCATGGGACAGTTCAGCTTAATAGGAAGGGAAACAAATAGAGCAAGTTACTAAGCACATAATTATTTATATGATTAGATCAGCTAAAAATTCATTTCGTTATTTGTATTAACTCCTACGTCAAAGACAAAACTAACATGAATATTAAAACCAGTTGATAGATTCTTCTTTATTGCGATGCTTCCAAATGAGTTTCATTTTTTTTATCTAATCATTATTTACTTTTTTCATGTAAGCCGCTTCAAAAACTTTTCCAGTCTCACTTAAGAGAATGAACGTGCTTCGAAATTTATTCTCACTTCTCATTTATTGCTGTCTTTGCAAAATGTGTAAAACAAAATTTCGGGTTTCACATATTATCACGAAATTTGGCATTTTGAACATGGTGTACTGCTCCCTGCTGCGAGGCCTGCAGCGACAAGAGCAGCTATTTCGTCTTCGACCCCGTAATAGAACCCACAGAGGACGTACATACACAGAGGGTGATACTACCAAGAACGGGCCGTCCCCAGATTTATCTTCCAAGCCCGACCCGCCCCCAACTAACACTAGTAGTGCCATCAATGCGGGTAACATGCCTGCGAGCCCGATGCGCAGCTCGAAGAGCCCGCATTATGGCTACAGCATTGCCCTTGGCGGGCTGTGTAGCGCTCTGCTTTGGGCCATCTATGAGTTGGGTAAGCCAGAGCGGGACCAAAGTGGTCAGCCCATCGAGGATGAGCTGAGCATGTTGCCCCTGGCCCAGCAGTACATAAAGCGAATGTGGATCTCCCTGCAATATTATCAGAAAATGCTGGAGGAGCCCGTGCCCAGTAAGCTGCTGCCCGATGTAATGCAGGCGCCTTACATACAGCCTCGCTATACGCTGGTGCTGGAGATGAAGGATGTGCTGGTGCATCCAGACTGGACCTACCAGACCGGTTGGCGTTTCAAGAAACGACCCGGCGTCGACTACCTCTTGCAACAGTGCTCGAAGCATTTCGAGATCATTGTCTATACTGCCGAGCAGGGCACCACAGTGTTTCCCATACTGGATGCACTCGACCCGAATGGATACATAAGATATCGTTTGGTGCGTGGTGCGACACAATTCATCGATGGACACCACATCAAGAACTTGAACAGCCTCAATCGTAACCTGAAGCGAGTCATTGTCGTCGACTGGGATAAGAACGCCACGTGTCTGCATCCCGACAATACCTTTGCGATGGCGCGTTGGTTGGGAAATGACGACGATGTGGAACTCTTCGATCTTATGGCCTTTCTGCAGATCATTGCCGAGAACGAAATCGATGATGTGCGATCCGTACTGCACTACTATCGCCAGTTTGAGAATCCAATACAGCAGTTCAAGGAGAACCAACGCATGCTGCTCGAGAAGACTCAGGAGAAGATGGAGCCGCAACGCACTGCGAGCAAACGCTGGCCATACAGTCTTATGGGGGGCGGAACAAAGCATTAGAAGTGTAAATACCATGTCATTAAAATAGCCGTGTTTGGACCGTTAATGCGCCTGTTTTATGAATCCCATACCCAGAAGCATTTACAGGGTGATGTACTACTACATAGGAGCACCTATCGTTGCAGAGAAGTGCTTATCATCCAATTGGCAGTCATTATGCAAATGGTTCCGGCTTAAAATCACAAATTGTCAGGTCAGCTCAGGTCCGGCTGGGTATGGGTGGTTCGCTCTGAGCCTTGCCATTATTATTTAAATGCCAAATTATTATCAGTATTCGGCACAGCTTGCCAACTGGCCAGCTGGTCAGCTTGTCCGTCGTATTGTCATAAACAATCAAAATCCATTTAAAATTGTACATGCAATTTGGCCAGTGAGCTGCAGACACACTGGGGGCCTATACCCATGGCGCTGCCATTGCAAAGGCCCACGCCCATTTGACGCACCTGCCCAGCCAGCCCAAAGAGCACTCACATCCCGTATTGTCTGATGGCCCGGCCAGGCAGCATCAACGCCTCGTCAAGCGTTTGAGCGGCACGGCACGGTGGACAGGGACTTGGACTGGGGCGTGGCAACCAATTGCATGCGCTTTACGCCACTTGTCAGCCTAACAGACGCACACTCACACACATTCACACACACAGACACACATTTATATACGTATATACATATATACATATAAATTTATATACACATATACGCCAATGCGTCCAAGTCTACGGCAATATTCTGTGCTACCTTTGTTTGCAGTCCCGCTTCGCAATAACGACTTAACTGAATATTTTCCCTAACAGGGAGGATCCAAGGTTTTCCAGAAGAATAGCTATCAGTCAGTATTCTGTGCAAGTGTCCTATTGTGTATTAAACAAATTTTAATAAAACCCTGTAGAGTCACATTTTAATCAAATATTGACTTAGATATGCCCTAATGCCTTGATTGTGGAACAGAATTATCCTTATCCGTTGTATAAACAGCTAGTCTTGTTAACAGCACCTGCTCTTCTGCTTAATATTCTGATCTTTAATATTGCAATTAATATTTGTATTTTTGTCTAAGATCTTTTATTTGTTTTATATACTACGATTCGGCTTATGTAGAACAGAATTATCCATATCCGTTTCATAAACACCTAGTCTTTTTAACAGCACCTCCTTTTCTGCTTAATATTCTAATCTTTAATATTGCAATATATATTTGTATTTTAGTCTAAGATCTTTTATTTTAACAATTTCTGCAGGCCTGGTATACTGCGATTCGGCTTAAGTAGAATAGAATTATCCATATCCGTTTTATTAACAGCTAGTCTTGTTAACAGCACCTGCTCTTCTGCTTAATATTCTGATCTTTAATATTACAATTAATATTTGTATTTTAATCTAAGATCTTTTATTTCTTTTATATACTACGATTCGGCTTAAGTAGAACAGAATGGTCCATGTCCGTTTTATTAACAGCTAGTCTTTTTAACAGCAGCTGCTCTTCTGCTTAAAATTATAATCTTTAATGCTCCAATTTAAATTTATATTGTTGTCTAATTTCTTGTTTTTTAACAATTTCATAAGGCCTGCTATTTACGAATAGAGTTCAGTAGGAGGTTTTGCATTAATAGCTCCAAGGTTTTCGAGAATAATGCATGTAGAGAATGTACTGTTATAGTTAGAATTTACTGTATATGAACGCCATTTTGCTTGCATATGTGTACGATACTCGTATGTGTATGTGTGTGGATTTCTCTCTCGTTGATATGATAATTGGCATGAGGTAATAATCCACTTGGAAACGTTGACAATCGTTTATATCGCAATCAGTGTCATGCCAACTGCTGTTGGATTCCCTTGTTGTTGTTTCTGTAACTGTTACTGTTGTTGTTGTTGTCTTGTTGAATTGGCCGCTTTGTGCTGAGGCTGCATAAAGTATAATTTCGAGCCGTCGTCGTGGATGTCGTTGTCGTTCCCATCGTTCTCGTACTCGTCCTCATCTCCGTCCTTGTCGTCCTCTTTGCCCCTGGTCTGCTGTTTCTGGTCCAACATATTAAATAACAATGAACTGCAATTGCCCAACGAGTCTCGTAATTCGTTTGTAATGCGTGCAAACGCACAGATTTGAGTTGCTTGTCTGCCGGCTGCCACTGTGTTGGCCACACCTCCGCACCTCCACACATCCCCTTCGTTACATCGATGTCTCCTCCTCTGACCGACTGCCCACTTGATGGTTGTCTGTTTCTTTGTCGCTGTTTTTGTTTTATGATTCACGTGGCAATTGTCCTACACCATGCATATAATTTCTGATTTCGTTGACTGTTAAATTTAATCACTTTTTGGTATCGTATTGTTTTCACCGAGCAAGTCTATTTGGTTGTGTTGACAATACAAAAAGCGACTAGACTATGAGTATAACTGAAAGGATTTGGCGTTAAGGATTCGTGTGTTTGGAGAGTTGATGATAGAAAATAATTGTCTGGCAAATAAATTCTACTTGCTTAAGCTTTTTGCAACCCCGAATGGTTATTTTAAAAATTTTTAATTCAACTAAAATAATTCTTCTGTTTACACTAAAAGCTGCTTGGTGGAATTAAGTTGTTGTTTACTACCACACGACATGAGCTTGTCGATTCTGCTTTCATTCTTATTCTGAATTGATATTTTTCTCGCTTAAGCTTATTCCATTTCCAATGAAAGAAGCCATTTTAATATTTTCGTGTTCAGCCTGAAAGTATGCAAAACTAAATGTTTGATAATGCAATAGGTCCGTCTGTTTAAAATAATATTGCAAAGAAGGTAAATATATCAATATTTAGATATTAATAAAGAAACTACTAATATGTTTTATTTATTTTGTTGTCAAAGGAATATTATAAAATAAAATATTAAATTAATTTATGCAGACTTCATCCAAACATAATATCACAGTTCCCTTAGTGAAATGATTATAAAATTAATTGTGTTTATTTTTTGGCAAATGAAAATCAATATTGCACGAGACTACTTTCTACTACTTAATAAAGTCGAAAATTAAATACATATACGATTAAATTATAAATAAAATAAAACTATGTTGTGCAATTGAATATTATTCAAATAAATATGAACCGAAAGCATCATCACAAACAAACTAAAGGCATTCAGAAGCGCGCTGGCAAGAGGATCTCTGAAAGAGCAAACTATATTAGACGGCTCTTTCGAACACACACACAGTTTCATCCACATACTCTATACTATATGGGTACTATATGGTGAAGTGCACTTCGCCAAGCAAAAAGTATATTTATGCGCAAAAAAAATGGTGGGTGAAGGTATGGGGAGAGCAGAGAGAAGGAACATCCGCGTGCAAGAAGCGCCACTTTCACGTTTGACCTCACTCAGAGTCCAGCGGCAAGTTGCTTAGCCCCTTGACCACGGATGTGTGTGTGTGATTGTGTGCGTGTGTGTGAGTGTGTGCACCTGAGACCCTTAGATGTTGGTGACTGTACGTTTTTTATGAGCGACGACACTGGCGATGAAAGCATTTCCGCATCCGCCGACGCTTGCGAGCGCAACTAGAGTCCACTTTAATTTTTGCTTTGTTTATAATTTACGCGACACAACATCAATTAAGTGCTTGGCCGGAAAAGCGCATACCTGTACCTGAAAAAAGCACCCATAAATTCACGCCCTAAAGTGGACTGCAAATGTGCAGTCCTCGCTGGACCAGCGACAACCAACCGTGGACTTCCTGTGCCTCTGCAGGTTCAGCTGCAGAGCCATGCTGCGTAAATAGCCACCGCCATTTTATATGCGTACGATTTTATATTGCACACAAATCACATAATTGAATATACTATATACTGCAGCGATCAAATTTAGATATATAGTAAGTTAGGTAAGAAAATCCGTAGATTTTCTATGATTCTGATTTTAACAATTAATCACAAATTAGACGACCAGTTTTTCTTGCGCAGTTTTTTCTGGCAGGCATTAATATGGAAAGACTTTTTATATATTTACATATGTATATACAAAATGTTATTACTATTCAACTTTTTTTCTTATACCTATCTTGACAGTTTAATCGAGTTTTATTTGAGCAATTATGACAAAATATACTTTTATACAAAATCTTATAAATATTTCCTCACACAACTTTACACATATCTTCATTTAAATGTTTACAATTGTTATTATAGGAGAGGACCATCATCGGCAGATCTTCTGGATGGCTAATTGGAAAGACTACCAGCTTATTTCATTTATTCGTATCAATTGCTTCCATATCTTGCTGATACAAATTAAAAAATTCTTTATGAAAACTTCACTCTACATGTATGGAAGTCAAAAGGAGAACATGGATGCTGTAATCAGCGAGGGAATGTCGCGGAAGTCCTGTTCTAGAAGTTAAATTAGTAGCCAAAGGAAGTGCACAGGTAATTAAAGATAAATTTAGCAAATAGTTTAACATGATTGGGACATTTCCTTGGCGAGTAACTGCTTTTTCTAATGTACAGTGTTTCCTTAAAAAGAATATGTAGTGAAAGAAATATATTTCAAATGTTTTCTAAACCTATACATACACGAAAGTTTGATTAAATAAATAAAAATCAACTCATTCCATATCTAGAAAAAAAAAACTAAACTTAAAAACGTGCAACAATACACAAAAAAACCAATTGGGTGTCTTCAAAAAATGTTGATGAATTGGTTAAATGTCTAAAAATGAAGATATCAAGCAATTTTGTAGGCTCCTTTAAAACTAAGAGTAGCTTAGACATTTCTTATCCTGTTCACAACCGTATATAGCCTTACTGTGTATATAGTATATGTAGCTGGGAAAGGAATAATCCGTGGAAAAAACAGACTCTGCAGAGTAGCTTCAGTATCTTCTATGATTTTTTACCAATTTGATATTTATAAGTTTTCTTAAAAACGGTGTCTATTAGACTATTCATAGTTCTGTCCACCATTGCTTTTTAATGTCTGCCTATAAATAACGATTTAATTAGAGGCCTTAATGCTTGGTTAGATGTTTTGAAATAGAATTCATTAAAGATTTCCCCAATATGCATATTTTATACG